TGTTCTGTAAACCTTCATCTAAAGTGAGAATAGCAGCACAACTGGAAGAATGTAATTGATGTCACTGAATTGTGCATGTAGAAATTTTTGAAATGGTGTATTTTTGGCTATGTATTTTTTCACCAAAAAAAAAAAAAGGTCAAGGGGAGGGTTGACATGTCGTAGGGTTGTTAACCAATGTCATAAAACAATATGTGTACTGACTGTTTAACGAGAAACTATATGTTCCGTAAACCTTCACCTAAAGTACAATTTAAAAAAAAAAACTCAATCCAGGGAGGCGGAGCCAAGATGGCAGCTTAGTCACACACACCATAACGTCCTCTGCACCAAAGACCCAAAAAACCAAGTGAAACAGAAGCAGATAACAATCCGGGAACCCTGAACATCAAAAAAGAAGGTCTAAGAAGTAAATCAAACACCAACTGGAAAGAAAAAGTGAGTGAAAGCAGCTAAAGAGGAGTAACACGGAATGGAGGAGCTCAGCCAGCCGTCCCGGCCTGATGTGGCCATCTTAGGACAAAGCCAGCAGCAACCTTGGGTGAAGAAAACAGCAAAGCAACTTCATGACTACCCCAAAAGGTACAGAGAAACTCTACAGACACACACAGAAAGAAACAGAGACATGGAGGGTACCAGGATCCAGAGCCAGAGCTACTCAAGGTGGCAGCCCCTAACCTCAGGAGTGAGTTGTGTGCATGAGGTGGTGGACCCGCAGAGTGTTGGTGGGAGGTATTTCACCCAACCGGTCCCAGGGGGCCCCCCTCCTCACACTCAAGAGAGGACAGGTCCCACCTGCTGGCTGCAGTGGATGTGAGGTGCCCTAACACTCATGTATCCTAGCGGGAGGGACACACTCCTCTTCATCCCAAGCTCCTGACTGGAGGTGGCAGAGAGTCCCATGCCTCCACTGCCTTGCCTGACTGGAGGACCACAACATGAGCCTATCCTCTTGGCCCTTGCCCCACCTTACCCCATCCACTACCCCCCTCACCCACCCGGAGAGCAAGACTAGGCACGCCCTTGTGCACGCCCCTGCTTGCCATCTACCTTAAGGGCTCGGTGGATGGCAGCAGCAGTGAGAGAGGCTGTCTACCACTCCCTTTCCCTTCCTCCCACCCAGCGTGAGGTGGTGGTGGTGCCACTGTGCACGCACCCACTAGAAGCAAGTCTCTCCCTTAACCTGCCCAGCGAGGGGAAGAGAAGTCACAACTTTGCATGCACCCTCCCTGACGCAAGGTG